ACATGCGTTATTTCGGGTTTCAGTTGACTATAGTCAACTGGAAAGTAGCGGATTTCAAGCGCCTACCCACACTCAACTGTTAGAACAGTGGGTTTCAGTTGAGTGTGGGTAGGCGCTTGAAACCCGTTACTTTCCAGTTGACTATAGTCAACTGAAACCCATGCGGTTACACGCACGTATCATATAAAAAGAATTGAAATCAATATAGTATATTTCGTCACTAGGCCGAAAGAAACTTTTCTGGCGAATATGAGTTTGCAGCCCGAGCCGAAGGCGAGGGCTGCAATCATATGAGCTAGAAAAGTTTTTTTTGGCCATATGACGAATAGTATTTTTTGTTATGACGGCCGTAGGCAGAGATTCACGGACGCGGAGCGTCCGTGAAGCGCTGCCTTACGGCCGGAATGACAAAAAGAAAATTGCGTCGGACTTAATTAGGTAAGTAATTTGAAGGGGGTAACCGGGGCCATAATTGCGGCCTTGTGGGGTTCATACGGGCTTCTACGGTGGAACCACCTTCAAGTGATCGAATACCAAGCTTGGAGCATAGCTGGTTCAATCTTGGAAACTAGCTATCACATATTGGGCTAAGCTTCACTGAGAGAAAAATCTGAAGTTCGATTTACAATAAGAAAATAGTTGAGGCATTTTGGTGAACGATACGATTTTTTTTAGTATGCGGCACATAACATTATAGTAAGTTCACAAGCGTAATTTTTGCAAATCAAAATGCAGTTAACCCGAGTCGAGGATTTGGTTCTGATTGGACGCACACAGGTCTTTCAAGATCTCTCCAGACCTAGATGGACCTGGTAAGTCCTAGTCAGTTCTGCGACGTACTTTTCCAGAGACCTTTCGAATCCTCAGTTCTTTTCGGTCCTGAGAAGTCCTCCTCGATGCTACCGAGAACGCGTGATTTTACGAACGGGCGAAGGGGAAGGCATGTATGCGGAGGGTTGAAATTTGTAGCCAACGAGAAGACGGGGTTGCAGAATATATTTTAGCCACCCTCATCTCCCCGTTTGCAGGCGGTGTTTAATTAAATAAAAAATAGTGAACGTTGATTCTGTATTTATTGACCCCCTGATGCCAATGAAACCCTCGGAGGTGACAGAAAAGGGGAAAAAAAATTTTTCATCTTCACGTGGGTCAAGGGTGAAAGTCGATTTTCGCAAAAATTGAATTTTTTCGCCAAGTGAAAGTTAATTCTGTATTTTCTAACAATTCTGATGCCAATGAAACCCCCGAAGGCGCGACAAAAGTCGAAATAAAATTTTTTTTTCACCCCCAGCCAAAGAGTCAGATTTTCTGTTTTTTCAGAGGGAAAGTCGACATTCGCCAAAATCGAATTTTTTAGTCGGGCAAGTGTTGATTCCAACTATTTAAGCGACGGGC